GAACACGATTTACGGTCATGAAGAGTTTGGTTGCATAGCACTGAGAATTGGTGCAAAACTGGAAGATCATCAGGAAATACTGTCTTGGAAATTCGCTTTCAACAAATTTTTCCTGACCGTGAGTACCCGCAGTTGGATGCGCAGCAATCCCCCATAAAGCTGTGCGAACTTCGCTTACCGCGACTGCAGCTTAACTCCGCGATTCCTGCGCCTCCAACTGGTTTAGCTCTGTTGAGATGTGGGGAAAATGGAGCTCCTGTTACCCAGGAATGATCACACGACACTCTCAGGTTGCAGTTGGAATTCACTCTGTGTCTGGCTCTAACGCCAGACTCCTGTTTTATTAAAAGCACACACACGCCCCCCCAACACGGGGGGGGGGGGGTCAGGTCAATCCCCTCCCACAGAACAATGTATAGGGAGTGTCCATACACAGAATGTACATCCTGATTGGAGTGTAGCATTTCCTCTTATCTATACTGAAAACTAGTTAAACCAGTCCTCTCCTCCCCCATAAGCTCTCTGTGGAGAGCCAGCTTCCCATCCTTTACATGCTTTCAGCTCCTAGCAGTATGTTCATTCCCTGTACAAGCATCCCTTAGATTAAACAGTGCCAGTCTGTACCTGGATGGGCCCGATACGATCTTTATTAAAACACATCCATCCAGATACAGTTCAGGTCGGTAGCGGCTTGTAGAGATAAACATGAGCCTACACGCGGAGATCGCACTGCCCGACGCCTGGCCATACGAAGTCCATGTGGTACTATGCTGCTGATATGTGGATACAGGCCCGTGGCCTACCGCCGGCGGCATTCGCATCGAATACTGTGGTGGTATACACGCCGGTCTATAAGCGCAGATCTGCCATCTCATCCATTACCGAGCTGAGTACTGTAATACATACAATGTACATGCGCATGGCCCAATTGCAGCCTTCAGAGCTTTAATGAAGCCACACGAGAGACATATGAATAACACTCATATATGACACATTTAAAGTTCAACCTGTAAATACAAAATTTCCATGACAATACACATTATTATTTGGGACTTTTCTACACATACGTGATGATGATTTTTTTTCACATCTATGTTATGGTCGGGGCGGACTGACCATTCGGGTACTCGGGCACTGCCCGAGGGCCTGGGGTGTGTAGGGGGCCCCATGAGATGCCCCTGGTACCTTTCATAGGCTTTTTTGGGTGTGGTTTGAGTGTGGGCGAGGACACAGGGGCCCCATGATCCCCTACTGCCCAAGGGCCCCATGAGTTGTCAGTCCGCCCCTCCTTATGGTTCATCGATTTAAGTATTGTATTGTGTAGGTATTGTAGTATTGGGAGGCGCTGCACTAATATATGTTTTGGGTATAATTGGACACATACATATGAGTGTGCGAAGGGTGCGGCGACTTTTATATTGCTGGCTCGCAGGATTAACATCAATATAACTATTTTATATTTTTAATATCTTTATTCCGTTTTTTTTAATACAAATCCAATTCCAATCAACATTTTATGATGCAAAGTTCTATACTTAACTACAACCCCAACTCCCCATATTTTCCCCCTCCCCTCCCACCCACCTCTTGTCTTACTGTCCTTCCTCTACTTCTTGATCTTCTTTTCTTAATCTATCTTATTATTTCCTCTCCTTATCTTTTCTCTGTTTCCCCCCATATGGAAGAAAAATATAAAATATATTTTTGAAATATATATTTACACACACATACAAAAAAAAATATATATATATATAATATATTTTTTTTATACATATATATATACACTGAAATGCGTTTTTATTACAAAATATTTGAACAATATGTTTTAAAATACATTTCAAATATACTGTATGTCTTTAAAAATACAAATCTACATTTTTGGAATGGAATTACAAATATATATGTAAAAATAAATGTTAAAGTGACCTTGCTATATGTTAAAAAAAAAAAATCTGAAGAATATATTTAAAAAATAAATATATGTACTGCATGTTGAAATGTGTTTTTATTACAAAATATATGAAAAAATATTTTTTAAAATATATTCTTCAGATTTTTTTTAACATATAAAAAGTGTCATTTAACATATATTTTTACATATCTTTATAAATCCATTCCAAAATTGTAGATTTGTATTTTTAAAGACATGCAGTATATTTGAAATGTATTTAAAAATATACTGTATGTCTTTAAAAATACAAATCTACATTTTTGGAATGGATTTACAAAGATATGTAAAAATACATGTTAAATTACTTTTTTATATGTTAAAAAAAAAAAAAAAAAATCTGAAGAATATATTTTAAAAAATATATATTTTTAAAAATATATTTTTTTAAAAATATATTTTTCAAATTTTTTTTTAACATATAGCAAGGTCATTTTAACATGTTATTTTTACATATATTTAATTAATTCCAAAAATACAGTATATTTGCAAGGGGTGGCACAGTGGCTTAGTGGTTAGCACGTCTGCCTTGCACCATGGTTCGATTCCTGACCATGGTGCCTCCTGCATGGAGTTTGCATGTTCTCCCTGTGCTTGCGTGGGTGTCCTCCAGGTAATCTGGTTTCCTCTCACACTCCAAAGACATGCTGGTAGGCAGGGGCGAGCTGACAACTCATGGGCAATAGGGGATCATGAGGCCCCTGTGTCCTTGCCCACAAGCAAAGCACACCCTATAAAGGGTATCTGGGGAATTTCATGGGGCCCCCTACTGATCCTGGGCCCTCAGGCAGTGCTCAAATGGTCAGTCTGCCCCTGCTGGTAGGTTAATTGGCTCCTGTATAAATTGTCCTAGTTTCATCCCTGGCCATGTGGGATCTCCTCCATGGTGGGGGTTGGGGAAAGACCTGGCAACCTACCCTGTAGAAATAATTTCATGGAAAAAGTTGCTTACGAGTGACAGTCCATGCAATCGCCAAGGGTCAGATACGAATGAATAGATATTTGAAATGTATTTTTAAAAATATTTTTCATATATTTTGTAATAAAAACGCATTTCAACATGCAGTATATACAGTGGGGATGGAAAGTTTGGGCACCCCAGCTAAAAAATGTGTATTAATGTGCATAAAGAAGCCAAGGAAAGATGGAAAAAATCTCCAAAAGGCATCAAATTACAGATTAGACATTCTTATAATATGTCAACAAAAGTTAGATTTTATTTCCATCATTTACACTTTCAAAATAACAGAAAACAAAAAAATGGCGTCTGCAAAAGTTTGGGCCCCCTGCAGAATTTATAGCATGCACTGCCCCCTTTGCCAAGCTGAGACCTGCCAGTGTCATGGATTGTTCTCAATCATCGTCTGGGAAGACCAGGTGATGTCAATCTCAAAGGTTTTAAATGCCCCGACTCATCTGACCTTGCCCCAACAATCAGCACCATGGGTTCTTCTAAGCAGTTGTCTAGAAAACTGAAACTGAAAATAGTTGACGCTCACAAAGCTGGAGAAGGCTATAAGAAGATAGCAAAGCGTTTTCAGATGTCAATATCCTCTGTTCGGAATGTCATTAAGAAATGGCAGTCATCACGAACAGTGGAAGTTAAAGCAACATCTGGAAGACCAAGAAAAATATCAGACAGAACAGCTGCAGGATTGTGAGAAAAACAATTCAAAACCCACGTTTGACGGCATGATCCCTCCAGAAAGATCTGGCAGACACTGGAGTTGTGGTCACTATTCCACTATAAAGAGATACTTGTACAAATATGGTCTTCATGGAAGAGTCATCAGAAGAAAACCTCTTCTACGTCCTCACCACAAAAATCATCGTTTGAACTTTGCAAATGAACATATAGACAAGCCTGATGCATTTTGGAAACAAGTTCTGTGGACCGATGAGGTTAAAATTGAACTTTTTGGCCGGAATGAGCAAAGGTACGTTTGGAGAAGAAGGGGCACAGAATTGAATGAAAAGAACCTCTGTCCAACTGTGAAGCATGGGGTTGGATCAATCATGCTTTGGGGTTGTGTTGCAGCCAGTGGCACAGGGAACATCTCACGAGTAGAAGGAAAAACGGATTCAATAAAATTTCAGCAAATTTTGGATGGTAACTTGATGCCATCTGTGAAAAAGCTGAAGTTAAAGAGAGGATGGCTTCTACAAATGGATAATGATCCTAAACACACCTCGAAATCCATGGGGGGATTACATCAAGAGGCGTAAACTGAAGGTTTTGCCATGGCCTTCACAATCTCCTGACCTCAACATCATTGAAAATCTATGGATAGACCTTAAAAGAGCCGTGCGTGACAGACAGCCCAGAAATCTCAAAGAACTGGAAGACTTTTGTAAGGAAGAATGGGCAAAGATACCTCAAAGAAGAATTGAAAGACTCTTGGCTGGCTACAAAAAGCGTTTACAAGCCGTGATACTTGCCAAAGGGGGCCGTACAAGATATTAACTCTGCAGGGGGCCCAAACTTTTGCAGACGCATTTTTTTTTTTTGTTTTCTGTTATTTTGAAAGTGTAAATGATGGAAATAAAAATCTAACTTTTGTTGACATATTATAAGAATGTCTAATCTGTAATTTGATGCCTTTTGGAGATTTTTCCATCTTTCCTTGGCTTCTTTATGCACATTAATACACATTTTTAGCTGGGGTGCCCAAACTTTCCATCCCCACTGTAGTATATATATATATATATATATATTTTTTTTTTTAATATATTTTGAAATATAGTGAATACGGCCAAAATTGTAGCATTTCAAATATATGTCAATATATTTGTGGAGAATATATTTTTAAAATATATTTCAAATATATTTTTCTTCCATGTGGGCCACTTCCTTATTTATTTCTTTATTCCCCTACACTCCACCCACTTCTAAGAATCTATTGATTAGCATCCCTATCTCCATGGTTACGGTGTACGGTGCTAGTTTGCCTTTTTGGACTAACTTTCTAAGTAATGACCCCAGATGATGGGAACCCCTGTACTCCTGTACCCTAATAATTGTCAGCATGGGTATATACTTTGGGTCAGCAGGTCATTTAGTAAAGGTGATGAGATACTCGGGATAGGCCTGGATGTCGTTGAATATCACATACATTACAGGTTTCGTTGGATTATCTGTGACGCTGTCATACAGGTCGGTGGGGGTTTGCGGGATTCTTTAGAAGGGGGGGGCAACCATCCCCTGTTTTCCGACACACGATACCCTGTGACCACACCGGCTCAGGTACATGTACTTGTATCCGCTTCCGTCCGGACGGGAGTATGTGTCGTGGAAGAATAACTGGCATCCACTGCAAAGTACGTCCCCGTTTCCATAATGAGCTGCTGGACAGGGGAAACAAAAAGAGTTATTCTCTCTAATCAGGTATCTTCATCCACATGTAGACAACATACACAGGCCTGGACTGGGCAAAAAAACCAAAAAATAGGCCAGGGCATTTTGGATGCTGAGCAGCACCAAGCCAGGGGACACCTTTTCTCGGGAGCGACGGGTAGCAGAAAAGCAGAAAAAAAGAGAGCACTGGTCGCAAAAGTGTCCTTTGGTGACCCTGGTAGTCCCGCCACTTGTGTTCAGTAGGTTATCATATTTATTTAATTTTTTTGAACAAAGAAAGAGAAAGGAGAGAGAGAGAGGGTGAGAGAGGGTGAGAGGAGAGAGGGGGAGGGGGAGAGAGGAGGGGGGGGGAGAGAGAAGAAAGACGAGAGAGTAGAGAGAGATCGAAGTGCGAACGTGAGAGAGAGATGTGAGAGAGAAAGAGAGATGAGAGAATGAAAGACAGAGAGAAACAAAATGAAAGAGAAAGAGAAAGAAAGACGAGGAACGACAAGAGAGAAAAGAAGATGAGAAAGAGAGAGAGGACAGAGGAAAGAGAGAAGAGACAAGAAAAGAAAGAAAGAAAGGAAGAGAGAAGAAAGATAGAGTAGAAAGAAAGAGTGCGAGAAAGAAAAAGGAAAGAGGAGGGGGAGAAAGAGGATGATAAGAAAAGAAGAAAGAAAGAAAGATTCAGAGAGAAAGAGGAAGAAAGAGAGAAAGATAGAGGAGAAAGAGAGAAAGAAAGAAGTGGAAAGAAAGTAAGAGGTCAACATAGAAAGGAGAGTAGAGGAAAGAAAGAAAGAAAGTGAATAGATAGACGAGAAAGAACGTAAAGGAATAGAAATAAAGAAAGATAAGAACAAAAGAGTGAGAAAGAAAGAGAAGAAATAAGAAAGAGAATGACAAGAAAGAGAGAACGTGAAAGGAGGAGAAAGATAGATGAAAGAAAGAGAGAACGAAAGAGTGAAAGAAAGAGTAGGACTAAGAAAGAGAGGAAAGGAACAGAATAAGGAAAGAAGTTGGATGACGAGAGGACGAAGAAGAAAGAGAGAAAGAAAGAAAGTGAAAAGAAACGAAAAGAGAATGATAAGCAAAGAAAGAAAGAGAGAAAGAAAGAGAGAAAGAAAGAAAGAAAGAGGAGAAAGAAAGAAAGAAAGACGGAGAAAGAAAGAAAGATAAGAAGGAAAGAAAGAGAGAAGAGGAGAAAGAAAAGAGAAGAGAAGAAAGATGAGGAGAAAGAAAGAGAGAGAAAGAGAGAAAGGTGAGGATAGAAAGAAAGAGAGAAAGAAAAGAAGACCAAGAGAGAAAGAGATAAAGAAAGAATGAAAGGAAAGAAAGAGTGAGAAGGAGAAAGAGAGTAAGAAAGAAAAGGAATGAACGAAGAAGAGCGACGAAGAAAAGAAAGAAAGAGAGGAAAGATAAGAAAGAGAGAAAGAAAGTAGAGAGAGAGAGAAAGAGAGACGAGAGAAAGAGACGAGAGAAAGAAAAGAGAGGAAAGAAAGAGAGAAAAGAGAGAGAGAAAGAAAGAGAAAGAAAGAAAGAGAGAGAGGAGAAAGAGGGAGAGAGGAGATGTGAGAGTGAGAAAGAGAGAGAGAAAGAGAGAGAGAAAGAAAGGACCGAGAAAAGAAAGAGAGAGAAAGAAAGAAGAACCGACGTAGAAAGAAAGAAAGGAGAAGAAAGGAGTAGAGAGGAAAGAAAGAGAGAAAGAAGAAAGAGGAGAAAGAAAGAGAGAGAGAAAAGAAAGAAAGCAAGGAACAAGTAAAGAAGACAAGAAGAAAGAAAGAGGCGAGAAAGGAACCGGAGACAAGAGGAGAGAATGAAAGAAGTGAGGAAAGAGAGAGAAAGATGAGAAAGAAAGAAAGAAAGAAAGACAAGGAAAGAGAGAAAGAAAAGAGAAGAGAGAGAGAGGAAAGAAAGAAAAGAAAGAGAAAAGAAAGCGAGATGAAAGAAGAAAGATGAAGAACGAGAAAGAGGTGAGAGAGAAACGAGGAGAGAGGAAGAGAGGAGAGAAAGAAAGAGGAGGAAAGAAAGAGCGAGAAAGAAAGAGAGAAAGGAAAGAAAGAGTGAGAAAGAAAAAGGGGAAAGTGAGAAAGAAAGAGAGAGAGACAGAGAGAAAGAAAGAAAAGAAAGGAGATGAAAGAGAGAAAGCAAGGTGGAGAGACAAGAAGAGAACAGATCGGGAAAGAGAGAGAGAAAGAAAGAAGAAAGAAAAGAAAGAAAGAGAGAAAGATAAGGAAAGAGAAAGAAAGTAAGATAAGGGAAAGAATGAGAGAAGAAAGAAAGAAAGAAGAGAAGAAGGGGAAAGAAAGATTAGAGAGGAGAAAAGAAAGAAAAGAAAAGAAAAGAAAGAGAGGGGAGGGGGGGGAGGAGAAGAAAGAAAGGAAGATGAAAGAAAGAGAGAGACGAAAGCGAGAAGAGAGAAAAGAAAAGACAGACAAGTGGAAGAGAGAAGAAAGAAAGAAAGACGAGAAAGAAAGAAAGAGAGGAGCTAGGACGAGTGAGAGAAAGATAGAGAAAGAGAGAAAGAAAGAAAGAGAGGATGGGAAGAGACGAGATGAGAGGAAAGAGAGAAGAGAGAGAAGATAGAGGAGAAAGAAAAGAAAGAGAGAGGAAAAGAGAGGAAAAAGAAAAAGAACGAGAGAGAGAGAGACGAGAGAAGGGGGGAAGGGGGGAAAAAAAAGAGAGAGAGAAAGAAAGTAGCTGCAGGGAGGGGGGAACCCCAGCGGCCAGTGCTGTGGGGGACATACAGGACCCGGGTTTCAGCAGGGGGGATGATAGGAGGGGACAAAGCCGTGGCAGCACGTAGAGGAACTGATCCGTGGATTTCTCTCTGCATCTGCTGAGTGCCGGCCTCTCTGGGACAGACTAAAACATTTCATGAGAAACCGGCTTCATGCAGCTTAATGTGCAATAAATCTCAATCAATTGACTAAACCGCATGGAGCACACGTCCTTATTTGAGGTTAAGAAAAAATAGGGGGGAAATGCACTGCATAAAAAAACTGGAATCTGTTGCTGTCAACTCTCAAGATGAGACCAAAGAGCTGTCACTATCAGTGAAGGCCATGCATTAGGCTGAAAAAACAAAGCAAACCCATCAGAGAGATAGCAAAAACATTAGGCGTGGCCCAAAAACAATGTTTGGAACATTCTTAAAAGAAGGAACGCACGCAGTGAGCTCAGCAACACCAAAAGACCGGAAGACCAAGACGGAAAACAATCGTGGTGGAGGATGAGCGAAGAATTCTTTACCTGGTGAAGAAAAAACACCCTTCACAACAGTTGGCCAGATTCAAGAACACTCTCCAGGAGGTTGGTTGTATGTGTGTCAAAGGTTCACCAATCAAGAGAAGACTTCACCAGAGTGAATACAGAGGGTTCACTCACAAGATGGAAACCATTGGTGAGAAGGCCTCAAAAACAGGAAGGCCAGATTAGAGTTTGCCCAAACGACATGTAAAAAAGCCGTCACAGTTCTGGAACAACATCCTATGGACAGAGGAGGGACCGACATCAACTTGTTTACCAGAGTGATGGGAAGAGAAGGGGGTAATGGATGGAGAAGGAACTAGGCTCATGGTCCTCAGCATACCACCTCATCAGTGATCATGGTGGTGGTAGTGTCATGGCGGTCGGCATGTATGGCTGCCAATGGGAACTGCTTCTCTTGTATTTATTGATGATGTGACGGCTGACAGAAGCAGCCCGGATGAATTGTGAAGTGTTTCGGGAATATTATCGGCTCATATTCAGCCAAATGCTTCACAACTCATTGGACGCTTCACAGTGCATTGGGCCCAGGATGGGACAATGACCCAAAGCAGATGCAAAAGCCACCAAAGAAGTGGAATGTTCTGCAATGGCCAAGTCCCATCACCTGACCTGAATCCGATGGAGCATTTCACTTGCTGAATACAAAACTGAAGGGAAAATGCCCCTAAGAACAAGCAGGAACTGAAGACAGTTGCAGTAGAGGGCTGGCAGAGATCACCAGGGATGACCACCCAGCGTCTGCTGATGTCTATGCGTTCCACACTTCAGGCTGTGTCATTGACTGCAAAGGATTTGCAACCAAGTATTAAAAAGTGAAAGTTTTGATTTATGATTATTATTCTGTCCCATTACTTTTGGTCCCTTAACAAGTGGGAGAGTTGACTCTTGAGAGTTGACAGCAACAGATTCCAAATGCAAATAGCACACTTGAAATGAACTCTGGACCTTTTATCTGCTCATTGTAATTGGGATAATGAGGGAATAAACACACACCTGGCCATGGAACAGCTGAGAAGCCAATTGTCCATTTACTTTTGGTCCCTTAACAAGTGGGAGGCACATATGCAAACTGTTGTAATTCCTACACCGTTCACCTGATTTGGATGTAAATACCCTCAAATTAAAGCTGACAGTCTGCAGTTAAAGCACATCTTGTTCGTTTCATTTCAAATCCATTGTGGTGTATAGAGCCAAAAATGTTACAATTGTGTCCATGTCCCAATATTTATGGACCTGACTGTATGGTCAGTGTCCTTCCTTTTTACTATACACCTTATTTTGTGAAATAAACCCCTTTATCCAGTATCACGCTATGTGGAATCCTTTGTTGGGCTCTCTCTGTGAGTGCGTTATTCACAGCCTACTATAGAGGTGACTCGACGCGGTGATACCTATTCAAGGACCCAGTGGTGTATAGGAACCTGGCCTGACCTGGGAGCAGATGACCTGATTATACCTGATGAGACAGGATTCATCTCAAATGCATGTTTTCTGTTTCAAAATTTTTATTAAGAAAGATTTGATTTTTAAGCATATAGCAAGCTCAAAAATACACCCTCACAGGGGCAGAGCAGAACAATGACATATAAACAGGGATATCCTGCTGACTGATATTAGTCAAATAACAAAAAACTCTGATGACATCAAAAAGGGACGGCAAACAGCCGAGCAAAACAGCAGCAGTAATCCAACCATAATATTGGAAAAAAAGAGAAAAGAAAGGAAGTTAGAAGAGAAAGAAAATAAAACAAAAGGGAATCAGAAAGAAAACAGGAAAAAAGGGAAACTAAAGGGATTCACGGATCCGGGGCTTGCACCAGCAGCGACTATAGAAGGCCATAACTAGTAGGGAGGCAGGGATGGTAAGGAATAGCATATCCAAGGTTCCCAAACCTTAAGGAATCTTGGGTGAGAATCATGAAGAATGCTAGACATCTGATCATTGAACAACATAGCATTCATCTGAGTCCTCACCCCTTGGAAGGCTACCGAAGGGGTTCTCCAAGCCTGAGCTATAGTACGTTTAGCCGAAATGAATAGGTAGGATGCCAATTTCTGTTGAGACCTAGACAGGCCCAAAATTGGGCAATGCAGGAGGGCCACCTTTGCATCCCTACGGACCGTAAATATGAAATAGCGTTTGAAGCAAACCAAAGACCCTAGACCGGAAGCCAATCAAACGCGGGCACGACCACCAAATGTGCAAGACGTCCCCACGTAGACCACAGTTCCGGAAACACACCATCTCCGCCAGTCGGATTAAAGTGAGCAGTCCGAGCCGGGACCCAGTACCACCGCAGGAGAACTTTGCAGGCTGCCTCAAGAGTGACTGTATTGAATGAACATTTCGCTACCATCCCCCAGGCCTTACGCCAGTACTTCACCTCAATCGAAACACCCAGATCTCGCTCCCACTGAGTGACAGAAGACCGGGGCGATGAGGAAGACCTACTGTTAAGGGAGGCATATATTACCGAAATAAGGCCAGGGGACCCTGGGGAGTGCTGACAAGCGTGCTCAAAGGGCGTTTTGCGGTAAGGATATGTAGAGGTACGACGGAGGGATAGGACCCAATGGCACAATTGGAAATACCGATAATATTCCCGTGGCGGGACCCCCCTTGATTCTCGAAGAGACTCCCAAGATGGAAGCGTACGAGTGCTCAGAAAATCTTGTACTACAACAAAGCCATGGGAGGTCCACCAAGAGAAAGAAGGGGGATGTTCTAGGCCTGGTGGGAATAAAGGATTATGAGTGATCGGCAAAAGGGGATGGGAATGAAGAAGAAATAAAGTTCCCCAAAATTTTTACAGAATCCCAGATTCTCAAACTGTGAAGCATGATGGGGCTCAAATCCGAAGGACGCAACTTAGGCAGGAGCCAAAGCAATGTAGTTAAGGAAAGCGGAGAACAGCTGGGTAGTTCCAAGAGTACCCACAATGGAATATCAGTCTTGGCATCAAATGCATGTTTTAAGCGCGCTTCTGGTGAGTGCGCATTTCACTTCTTCAGACACATCATCTGTCACCCCTGGATTAGATATCCAAACACGTTGGTTGTGATCTAACAAGATCTTCACGTTCTTATATACAGTATATGCACGGTATCAACATTTTGAAATGGGTGTCTGGGACAGAATTCTTGGCTGGATATGGAATCGCTAACTGGAACAAACTCCCTGGATGCCGGGCTCTCTGACATCAGTGGTGTAATGATCTGCCCACCCGGGTCACAGACTGAGGCCAGTTCATTCTTTGTCCTCTCCTCTCTGTATGAGGGCTTGTTCACATCAGATCATGGAAATCCGCGTTCCATGTGCGTTTCCTGCACTGCGGCTGTGATCTGCACGGGGTGTCAAGGTTAGGTGAACGATGCCCCAAACACAGGTTGCAAACGCAGTGAGTTTTCCTGCACAGAAGTACCATGTGATCCAGTTGCAGTGCGTTTTGTTAAGGTAGTGCATGCACTACTTCTGGTGTGGTCCAAACCGCACCTCACTGCACCACATGTGAATCACATTCCTGGTGTGAACACGGTCTAAGAGATTTGACGCTTTGGGTCTTGTTCTCTCAATAGACATTCCCCCGTAGTGCAGCCACTCTGTAGTCTCCACAGCTGGCCTCAGTAAAAAACAGATTTAAAAATAGAAAATAAAGGATAGAATAGAACATAATAGAATAAAAAAGAACAGAATAGAACATAATGACTAGAATAGAACATAATAGAATAAAACAGAATAGAACAGAACAGAACAATGGAATGTATGTAATAATTTAATATGGAAAATAAATAAAATATGTAAAAAAAAGAAGAGAACAGAATAGAATAAACCAGAAACAATAGAATAGAACATAAAGAGACAGAATAGAACAGAATAGAATTAGAATAAAAGAATTATAATAGAATAGATATAAAAAGAATAGAATAGAGTAGAATAAAAGAGCGAACATAACCATTTTTGAAATTCAAATTTTGAATCGATTTGAAAATAATTAATATATAAAATGAATAGAACAAAATAAAAACAGAACAGAAAAGAATAGACCAGAAAAATAATACACTAAAGAATAGACCAAGAAAATAATAGACTAGAATAGAAAAAAAAAACAAAAGGGATAGAATAGAATAAAACAATAGAATAGAAAAGACTAGAATAGAGTAAAATAAAAAGAGTGAATATCACATCTTTTGAAATTCAAATTTCGACTCGATTTGAAAATCATGAATATACGAAATGAATAGAACAGAATAGGAAAAAAGAATAGAATAGAATGGAAACAGAAGACAACAAAACAGAATAGAATAAAACAGAAAGAGAATAGAACAGGACAGAATAGAATAAAACAGGACAGAATAGAATAGACCAGAAAATAATAGCATAGAATAGAGAATAAAGGGATAGAATAGAATAAAACAATAGAATAGAATAGAAAAGACTAGAATAGAATAAAATAAAATAGAGCGAATATCACATCTTTTGAAATTCAAAATTTTGAATTGATTTGAAAATCATGAATATAGGGAATGAATTCTGAAAATGAATCATTCTAACACAACGAATACGATGAAATTACTAACTTAATGAACCAATCTGAATCTAAATGAAATCCATTTTTCCGTCCTGCACATCTCCAGTCTGGACGGCATTTTTTGATCTGCCCCTCTTCTGCCCCTCTAACTGCCGTCTCTGCTGCGCCACCTTGAGGAATTTTTGTGCCCCCACCTCTTCAGGCGTCTGTCCTGCCTGTTCGTAGCCGGGTGCAGTCTGTTTTCCCCTCTGTAGGTGGCGCCCCTCCCCACAGGTTTCTCAGCTGTCGCAGTCTGGGGTTTATACCCCGCTGTGATAGCAACACAACATCCATGGTGGCAGCGGCTCCGGTGAAGACCCGACACACCAGGGGTGGTACGGAGGGTCCACACATTGTGAAAAAATGGCCTACTTGCACCCTGTTTATACCTAGGTGACCACAGGGGGCCCCTGCCAGAGGTATCATCAGATGTGGTCACTCACCATTCTTTCCGGCGTAGCTCCTGTAAAAATCCATTGTTGTTCACACTGCTCACAGTATTGGGGTCCAAGCCATGGAAGAGCTGCTTCTCGTTAGTGGTGGAGCCATTCTTGTCATCGATACTTTGCTTCTTTATCTGGTAGTTTATCCACAGGGGGCGGTTCTGGACCCTCTCGATCTGCTCAGAAACAAACGTCATCACGGGCCAAAAGGATCGTAAACAAAAATGAATTATTATTATTATAGAGGTATTTATATAGCGGCAGAAGGTTTGCTCAGCGCTGTACATTATAGTGGGGGGACAGAACATGACAGTAACATGAATATACACGAGGGGTTCGAGGGCCCTGATCCTGGGAGCTTACGCTCTAGGAGGGAGGGGGTAGAGTGGTACAGGAGGAAATGGCTGTGGGGGGTGGAGTGGTAGGAGGAGTGGAGGAGATCGGTTGTTAGGTGAGGGTGGGGGAGGCTTCCCTGAAGAGATGGGTTTTTCAGGGAGCGCCTAAAGTGAGGAGGAGAGCAGGTGACAGTCTGATGGATTGGGGTAGGGAGTTCCAGAGGATGGGGGAGGTCCTGGAGAAGTCCTGCAGTCGGGCGTGGGAGGAGGAGACCAGGGAGCTAGAAAGTAGGAGGTCTTGTGAGGAGCGAAGATTACGGGTTGGGTGGTATTTGGGTATCAGGTCGGTGAGGTAGTTTGGGGCGGAGTTATGAATGGCTTTGTATGTCAGTGTTAGTAGTTTGAATTTAATGCGTTGGGTTGGGCAATCGGGAGCCAGTGGAGGGAATGACAGAGGGGGGTGGAGGACACTGAGTGGAGGCCAGTGGAGGGAATGACAGAGGGGGGTGGAGGACACTGAATGGAGGCCAGTGGAGGAATGACAGAGGGGGTGGAGGACACTGAGTGGAGGTCAGTGGAGGGAGGGAATGACAGAGGGGGGTGGAGGACACTGAATGGAGGCCAGTGGAGGGAATGACAGAGGGGGGTGGAGGACACTGAATGGAGGCCAGTGGAGGGAATGACAGAGGGGGGTGGAGGACACTGAATGAGGCCAGTGGAGGGATTGGCAGAGGGGGGTGGAGGACACTGAGTGGAGGCCAGTGGAGGGAATGACAGAGGGGGGTGGAGGACACTGAATGGAGGCCAGTGGAGGGATTGGCAGAGGGGGGTGGAGGACACTGAGTGGAGGCCAGTGGAGGGAATGACAGAGGGGGGTGGAGGACACTGAGTGGACGCCAGTGGAGGGAATGACAGAGGGGGGTGGAGGACACTGAATGGAGGCCAGTGGAGGGATTGACAGAGGGGGGTGGAGGACACTGAGTGGAGGCCAGTGGAGGAATGACAGAGGGGGGTGGAGGACACTGAGTGTGGACGCCAGTGGAGGGAATGACAGAGAGGGGTGGAGGACACTGAATGGAGGCCAGTGGAGGGAATGACAGAGAGGGGTGGAGGACACTGAATGGAGGCCAGTGGAGGGAATGACAGAGGGGGGAGGCAGATGTGGAGCGGTTGGTAAGGTGGATGAGTCTGGCTGCTGAGTTCAGGATAGACTGAAGAGGGGATAGTCTGTGATGAGGTTCGGCCGGTCGGTGAGGAGGGAGTTGCAGTAGTCCAGGCGTGAGATAGTAAGGGAGTGGACGAGTAGTTTAGTAGTGTCTGGGGTGAGGAACGGTCGTATTTTGGAGATGTTGCGGAGGTGGAGCCTGCATGAGTTTGCCAGCGATTGGACATGGGGTTGGAAGGACAGGTTTGAGTCCAGGGTGACACCTAGGACTTTGGCTTGTGGGGTGGGACTGATGGTGGCATTGTTGGTCGTGATGGAGAGGGGGGGGGGGGGTGGGGGGGGGGGGGGCACGGGCAATTTGAGGAAACTGGAGCAACATCCAGTCTGATATGTCGCTCAGTAGGGGGGCGATACGGGCGGAGACTGAGGGGGTGAGGTGAGGGGTGGAGAGGTAAACTTGCGTGTCATCAACATTGAGGTGATAGTTGAAAATGAATGAGATCTTATCACAGAACAGAAGAAATGTTCACTAAACGGGACCAAACTGTCTCATAACATTACAAGTCCCACAAGAAAAATCGTCCAAATCGTTTGTTTCCCCCCATAATGTACAATCTATACCCCCAAACCCATATACATCATTTATCTCCACTGGCTACTCCAAAATCATCAAAAAGATCGATTACCTTGAT